CTCCCAAATGCTGAAAAATAATCAAAAATGATACCCATGCTATGTTTTGACTATTTTTGGATATCCCCCCTGTAGAGGGACAGGCCCGACTTAATAATAATGCCGACTGCACATCCCTGGAGCCGCTGCAGCCCTGCCGGGGCCCTCCAAGGAGGCCCTTCTCCCTCGGGGCTCCGTTGGCCCCTGGCTTTCAGTGGGGCGTGTCCCCCTACAGGGGGATTTTCGACGAAGAATAAAACATAGTCAAAACATGCACCAAAATGACCCCAAATACTCCAAAAATGGTCCCCAGACTACTTTTTTTACTATTTTTGGATATTCCCCCTGTTGAGGGACAGGCCCGACCTCACCCTGGCTCCTCACAGGCGGGGCGCACATTCCCATCCACGACCCCGCGGCCCGGGGCCCTGTGCCGCGGCCCCGGGAGTGCGCGGCGAACGTCTCCATGCGGCCGTGCATCTGCATGGGTTGCCGCGGGGGGTGCTGAGTGAATCGGAGGGTTTTGGGCGGATGCGAAACAAGTGTGTGGGATCAGGACTGACCTAGCTTACAAGCGGGCTGCAAGAACCATGAGCGGCAGAAGGATGTGTATTCGTACATGCATGTGTATGTGCATGTGTCTATATGTAAATCAATCGAAATGTATGTGCATATCTGTATATATATGTATATATATAGAGAGAGAGAGAGAGAGAGAGAGAGAGAGACACACACACATATCACTCTGCCAAGTGGGCGGGCTCCCTTAGCCCAAATATTTACCCCCATGGGCCACTCCTGGCACGTGTACCCCGCTCAAAGGCAAGCAGCTGGGTCAGACCAGACATGACCCACCTCAGCAGCCGTTTCTGACCCTCCTGTCCACATGGCAACCCCCGCGGTGATCTAAGTACGGGATCGCGCCCCAGAGTCCTGAGCGAGAGGCAGTGGACATGGACATGCAGCCGGACCTACTGACAGCAAAACATCCTCCAAGAACATGAGACCCTCCGCCGGCCAAACCGAAGTATACTCGAGGGTACCCTCCCACAGGATGCACCAGAACATCCAACAGACACGACATCAGGGTACCCTCCCCGAACCGACCTCGATCTTGTACCCCGGTCCGACTGTATTCGCCGCTGGTGGGCGCCAGCTTTTTCCGTGGACGGCGGTGCCCCAGCGGCACGCCCGAGCGTCGCGGGCCATGGCCCCGGCGAGGTCGGCGGGCCGCCAGGACCACCGGACGGGGGCCCCTCTGGCTGGGACGACTGCCCGGCGAGCCGAGCCGGCGTGGGGTCGCTCAGCATGGGCGCCGCCGGCGCTGCGTCACCTCTCGGAGGGTGCCGGAAGTGTCCCTGGCTCAAGGCGCCCCCAGGGTTTCCAAGGCACCCCTCACAAGGCCTCCACGGCCTCCAGAGCAGCCCTCACGAGGCCCAGAAGGCCCCAAGGGCTCCAAATGACTGATTTTCAAATCTCTTTCCCGCGTAACGGTCGTTACCCCCAGGGGGGGTCGGGCGGGAAGGTAACGGTAACGGCGGCGGCGGCGTGCACCCGCCGGTGAGCGTCCGCGCCGCTGGCGCATCAATCACCTGTGTGCACCACAGCATGTAGGGAACGGGTCCAGAGCCTCCCCCCGCAGTACGATCGTTAGCGTTACCTGGGGGGGGGGGGGGGCGTGTAACGAGCGTTACCCTGGGGAAGAAAACAAACATACGCTCACAAGGTGTCCCTGGGCAAAAAAAAAATCTCCAGCTCTTCGCTCGACGTTGAAGAGAAGAGTGCCCCTCGGGCCTTCTGGGCCTCGTGAGGGCCAGAGGACCCGAGCAACACCTGGCGCCGCCGCCACCGCACGGGGCCCTGAGCGCTGCCGCGGGCACCCCTGGCAACACCCTTGGCAACACCCGAACGTCGGTCGGCGCCCACCAACCCCAGACCCCCGACGTCATGAGTTTGCACATGACGCGACCCCCAAGAGATCTGGACCCACTCCCCGGGACCGCTGCTGTTCAACGGCGACACGGGGGCAGTGCGCACTGCAACCGACACAGGGCACTGATGGGAGCTACTACGAGTGAGGAGACGTGCGCCCATGCGGCACGACACCGGAGCCTCGGACCGCACCGACACCCGCCTCCGAGAAAGAAAAAACCATGATTGCTCGTCGCTGCAGCGCTGCCCGGGTCGGGACCGGTATTTCACCCTGAGTCGTTTGTGACGGTGCCGGGGCCCAGTAAGGGCCCCCATGGAGGTTGAAAATAGCGAAGCAAATCTTCTGTGGTGATTGCTCCTGACTCGAGTGGGTCTGGGCTCTGGTCACCCAAACTTCGCATCGCGCCCCACGATGTGCGACGATCTTCGTGCCGTCGGGTCCCCCAGCAAAGGGCAAGCGCCCTGGCAACGGCCGCGGCGGGCGAGGCGCAGTCAGCTTCAGGCTCCCGCGAGCCATCTGGACAACAAGGGTGTGGCGAGGTGGGTGCCCTTCTCAGATATCCGATGTTGTGCTCTTTCGCACCACTTTTGAGCAGGGACCGACCGTCCTGGCATTCCTATAAGCCTACCACGACATGTTCTTAGAACCCAGCAATGTTCGAATAACCAAACAATGTTCTCAGAACATGAACCCGACGTGTTAAAACAGGACAGTCCCAGCCAGAAATGTTCTAAGACCCTTTCTTGTAGGCCGCAAAAGGTTATTAGAACATTCATTGGTGTGCAAATAGGCCAACCAACACGCCTCGCCACTGCTTGACACTTTGGACGCCCAGTAGCAAGTGCTGTCCAACAGCAAATGTTGCCCAACATCGACAGCGGCAGATGTTGCGCAGGCGGCCTTCTGCATCAAATGGACAACGTCCGCGGCGGCGCGGGCAGCAAGTCCTAGTCGAAATGAATGCGCACTACTGTCGAGCATCGAGCCCGTTCTTTCCGTACCCAAGTCGTTCGTGCCGAACCACGTGACGTGCACCCCAGAGGTCTAAACCCCTTCCCCGGGACTGCTCGCGTTCATCACGACTTTCTCTTCGACGGTCCCAATGCCTGTGCTGAGGGCCCCAAGAAGCCGAACATACTGCCAACAGAACTGCCGCGAATTACGTTTTCCTCGCAACGTGAGGTAGAGGCTCTGGAAAGGCATGGCGCTTCCCAGAGATCGGGAGCTGCCCCAACGAGACAGGATGCCCTCCGTCGCCTTCCTCGGAGACCCCATCCCTCGCCCTGGACCCCCTTCTGTGCGCTGCCGGCACCTGCTCTGTCCTGTTCCGAGGCGGGCTGGTCCTTGTCCACAGTCTCGAGGTCCTGGAGCAGCGACACGGAGGCGATGATGTAGCAGGCGCCGCGTAAGACGCGGCCCAACCCGCCCACAAGCAGCAGGGAATGCGTCAGCGCGCAGCCCTGGTCACAGCTGCCATTCCGTAGCAGGTCGCTTATGCCTCCAGCCAGGAAGGGCCCCGCCGCCATGCCGACAGACCAACAGAGCTCCAACATCGCCTGCGTAGTCGCTCGGCGGCCACGAGCCAAAGCCTGCATGGTTGGGTCCAGGCCCTGCATCAGCGAACTGGCGAAGGTTGCTCCTACTAGAAAGGTGACCAGCAGCCCTAAGCTGGGCGCTAGGAGTCCACAAGTGCCAAGCACCAAATAGAAAAAATCCCCCACAACGGCACACCAGAGGAGCATCCGGGAGTCGCCAGTCTTTATCAACGCCTTGTCAAGAAAGTGCCCACCCACGCAGGCAGCGAGGATGCCCGCAGAGCCGAGCACACCGCCCAGCAGAAGGCCTACGGTCTGCTCATCGGTTCTGTAATTACGCTTTGCAAGTGCCGAGATGAAGCGCTGCTCACCGTTCATGAGGCCACTCAGCAGCCCACCCAACAGCATAAATAGCAGCGTGGGCAGACGCAGAAGCTGCCTGATATCTTCTGTCCAAGAACGCGACAATTGTGCTCGGGGCTGTTCACGCACCGTCGTAGCCAACAAGACGGACAAGACCACCTGCGGCCCACCAACGACCCAGAAGGCCCAACGCCAACCAGCATGCACAACCATATAGCCGCCGATCACCATTCCAAGTAGCCCACCTATGGCCATTCCAGCGTTGAAGTAGCCCATAGCTGTGGCCAGCTGGCCAGCATGGAAAAAGTCTGCCAGCAGCGACACGGCGACGGGGTAGCCAGCACAATTTGCCAGGCCCGCCAGCATGCGTATAGACACGATGGCATGAAAAGACTGGGCGCTGCCTGTGGCAATCGTGGTGACCGCCCAGCCCAGCACCCCGCAGGCCAACAGCTTTGCCCGTGGAACATGATCAGCGAGGCGGCCCATGAACATGACCACAAGCGGCAAGACCCAGAGGGCGGCGGATGCTATCATCCCTGTTTGCATGTCGCTGAGCTGAAACTCTGACTTCATGGACTCCATCGAGAGGGAGAGGACCGAGCGGTCAATCCACTCGCACGTGAGGAACAACGTGCACAATGTCAAGACCCAGTGCTTGTGCTGCAGCCCGCTCGTGTAGAAATTCTGATCACAGGCAGGCCCATCGAGAGTGCCAGTCGCCGGTGCATCCTCCTTGTGCCCCCCAGGAGTCCCAGGACAGTTCACGAGTGACAGATGCTGATTCTCCGCGTCCTGAAGTTTCCTGAACTGCAGATTGATATCCTTCCACAACTTGGCACTCTTCACCATGACTCTGCAACGCAATCGGCCATCGAGCCGATCAAGGACATCGCCACGACAACATGCAGGCGGGTGCACCACGCTCAACTCAAACAACACAAAGGCTACAGAACGTGGATGATGACGAAGAACATGGAACGGCCGACGGAATTAAACTGCAACGGTGGCGACGACGACTCAACTTTCACCCGACTACTGAAGCGCATAAGGCAAGGCCAAGATCCATGTAAACTCGGATGGAACAAACAAACGATGACGATGACCAAGACGGAACACGACGCCGGTGCCGATCTTGGCCATCGCCCCTCCTGGCAACCGTGGATTCGTGGAGCATCCTCGCGACTCTGCGACGGCAAGTACAAGATCCCGTGGCATCTCGGCCATTGTCGTCGTACTTCTTCAGACGAAACCAAGTACTTGCCTCCCCTGGGGCCACGAGAAAAAAACGAGATCGAGGCCAGACCGCGCACCCCACAAACTCACCGAGGACCTGTGTAGCTATAAATGGGCACAGGGAACCACAAGCAAAACTCCACAAACCAGGATTCCCAATTTTTGTTAATATTTTCAAGACTTTCGCCTTCCCCTCCACTTCCCAGATTGCCCAATATTTTCGAAGATCGAAGATGATTTACATCTGTGTCTACTCCTCCATCCTGGGTAGTGTTGGCGCGCCGCTTCGCGCGTGCAGCCACGATCCCCGACAAGACACGCTGGCGCCGCTTGGGACAAAGACGGGCACTCTAGTACGATGTGCTCACGCTGGAGGCGCACGTTCGACACGAGCACCTAGCACGCGGATGGTACAATATGCAGCGTCCCGAGCAGACCCTGTTGAGTACGACTTCTGAGCGCGCGCGTCGCCATGTCGGGCCGACGCGCACATAGTATGAATTCGCTGGCCCAACGGGCCAGAGACGTGCTAAGATCTCTGGTAGCTGGTTAACAATATTTCTAGTTCGCGCGCGCGGGGCGGCCCCTGGGGGTCCCCCGGCGAAAAGTACCCCGACCGCAGCCTGATCAAGTCTACTCAGAGATGGTTTTGAGGGCCTTTTTTCGACACCCCTCACGAGGATGGCGGCCTCCGAGGAGGGTGCACTCGACTACCCCGCCCCAGGAAGCCCCCAAGAGCCCCCCAAGAGGTCCAAGGGGGCCCCAAGACGCCGCCAATGAGCCCAAAGAGACCCCCAAGAGGCCCCCAAGAGGCCCCTAGGAGGCCCCAAAGAGGCCCCCAAGAGGCTTCAAAGAGGCCCCATGGAGCGCTCGAGGGCTGGCGGAATGAGCGAAGCGATTAAATATGTTTGGGTGGTGCCGACCGTTTCTTCATGTGATGCCGTCTTCTCAACGACCTTGCCAAATTGGACCTGCCAATCGCCACACCAGCCAGCCGGCCAGCCAGCAGACCGGCCCGCATCCCGCCCAGGAGGGCAGCCGACCAGCCAGCACAACAAATCAGCCTGGCCACGCAGGCACGCGCTAAGCGCGGCAGCGGGGGGCGCAGCCGTCCAGACAAAGACGCTGTCACCAGAGGTAACACGTGTCCCAGCGGAAAGCCTTGGCAACAGCAGACGGGCAAAATCGGAACACGGCCCAAAATGCACGCCGTGGATTTACCCGAATCCGCCGATTCGGAGACGTGATCCCAAAGATGCTGTGGAGAGTGGGAGGTGGATGTGCCCCGCCTTCAGGGCGCGGGATGTGTGCCAGGGCGCGCATCGCTCTGCACCCCGCTCCGTTTTCCACCACGAAAGGTACTGCAGAGGAGCAGCGCGTGAAGACTTGGAAGAGGGAGCACGCAACACGCGACGCGCGGCCAGACCAACATGGTTCGAGGGAGAGGGAAAAATAAGGGAAGGGGGGGGGACTCAGAAATCTAGCTCTACTATGTAGCACCCCGCAGTTGCGGATAAGAGTGATGGGGGCGGCGGGGTCGTCGGCAGTCTGCGGGGCTCTGAAGAATGCCGCCGCAAGCGACGCTTTTTTTGGGGGGGGGGGGGGGGCTAATCATGCAACAAACCCGCCGCAGGCGCCAAATTTGTCGTCCAAGCAAGTGGGTGGGTCGCGGATGGGTCGCTGGTGGGTCGCGGGGGTGGGTCGCGGGTGGGTCGCTGGTGGGTCGCGGGGGTGGGTCGCGGGGGTGGGTCGCGGGTGGGTCGCGGGCGGGGTAGCGGGTGGGGCGACGACAACAAACAACGAACAACGACCAGCAAACAACAAAAAAATAGCAACAAACAACACAACAACATCAACGACAATCCGCACCGCAGAATCGCACTTCAACCACGCACCCAAGAACAAGGAAAGACAGTTCGGCCCCCCGTTCTGACATACATCGTTACGGATTTGTTCTTGTCGGAACCTGGAAGCTGTGGTCGAGCCCCAGGACATGTTCGTAACCGCTCAAAATCAGATTCCGACCCTGGGCAAGGTCGGGGGCTCCAGGGACCCACGCTTCGAACAAACAGGGCCTCCGTACATCTGGACGATTGCAACACTTGGAGATGGCTCCCCGCCTGGCCGCGCCTCAGATACAAGATCATATATCGAATCTGCGGGATGCCACTAACAACTGACATGATTCACTAAACTCACGCTGAGTGCCGGGTAAAGATACCCAGCCCCCACTGGGGCCAGAGAAACTGAAAATTCTTGGATCCTCGCTTCGAAGCCCGACGTTGACATCAGCTCAGGGTCCCCATGGGGCCCCTTGCGCGAACCCTGGGGGAAAAAAAAAACGACTACCCGCCGCGCCCCGATGCCGCCCTCCCGCGCCCTCCCTCAACCGTCCCTCCCTCGCTCACCCTCCCCTGCTGCACGTCGGGGAGTCTGCGGGCCTGCCGGGAGTGGCGCTCCCGAGATGGCGGCCCACACGATCGAGTTGTGGTGGCGCCGCGGGGGTGGGAAACAGACATGCGCGGCCGACGTGGACTGCCGCACTGGGAGCGTTCAGGAGCTCCAGAGGCGTCAGAAAGACTGGGGAGAATGCGGTGTTGGTTCTCGTGGTACGCCATGCGCTGTGTCATGCGCGACGTGCGAGGGTGCATCGGCGCACTTCATCCTGTTGAGGCACCTGGGAGCGAATTACAACCGACACAAAAGAAAGCGCATCCCACAAATATACATGCCTGGGGTTGGGTGTCATATATAGGACCTGGACACGCGTCTGCGGACTACTCGTACAGGTGCTCCGCCAGCTCTAGCGTTCGACAATGCGTGTCCCAAATGCTTGATTGACAACACAACATGTGCTGGTGCAAGCGCATCTCCTGTGTGTCGACTGCGCGCTCGATGCGAAACCGTCTTGGCTATCCACGCCTTCTATCGGGAATGGGTCGAGACATCGCACATCCAATGGCGCTTCACGGTATCTCCCGTCAAATTGCCCAACCTCGTACATCCCAATTTATTTGACTTGCCCACCTGTCCCATATTTCCTGGTCAGAGCTTGCCTCTGTAGGGGTCCTAGCGGATTGATACGGTCAGGCGCAATGGGGTGCCGATTTCGGCGGCATGCCCGGGTGCCCGGGTGCCCGGGTGCCCTATAGCCCTATAGCCTTGCAGCCTAGTACTATAGCCCTATAGCCCTATAGCCTTGATAGAACTTGATAGCCCTATAGCCCTGCAGCCCTATAACCTGATAGCCTTATAGCCTTCTGACCCTATCACCTGATAGCCCTACAGCCCTACAGCCCTATAGCCCTATAGTCCTAAAGCTCGATAGTCCTATAGCCTTGTAGCGGAGGAGGAGGAGGAGGAAGAGGAGGAGGAGGAGGAGGAGGAGGAGGAGGAAGGGGAAACGGCAGACGAGGAGGGCGAGAGAAGGCAACGCGAAGAAGGATAGAAAGGAAAACATAGAGGTCAATGACAGCCAACAACCTCCAACGACAAACAACAACCTCCGCATCTCCGTAGTGCTCGCAGCGCGGGCGGTTGCGCTCCGCGCCGATCTCTAGCAAAGACGCCTCCACGACGAACACGTCGCCTGCCCGTGCGCGGGCGGGTTCGACACTTTTTTACCATCCAGCGAAGCCCAGCGGCAAACGGGACACAGAGGGGCGGGAGGAGGAGGAGGAGGAGGAGGACGAGGAAGAGGAGGCACACGGCAGCCCCCTGGAAGAGGCGACAACCAACTGGAAAGACCACTCGATGTTGGAAGTAGGAAGGCAACGAGTGTCACCCAGAGGTCCACAGCACCTGCTACCAACGACAGATGAGTACTTGCGCATCTCAGTTGCATCTTCGCACCGTGCTGTGTGAAGGGATAACTGCCGCTGGGAGCCCTTGGCAAGCCAATGTCCCCAAGCACGGCCAATAGCTCCTCGGGCAACGTCACGGCATGCTGTGCCGCGCGTGGCTATGCGGCAGTGCCGTGCTATGTCACGCACCCATATCCAAAGATCTTAAATGCTGTAAGGTGCGATTTCGTGCTGTGCCATGCTGCTCCGTGCTATGTGTCCTACACAGGGAGCGCTACGCCATCAGTACGGCGCAAGGATGCCACGCTGTGACATCATAGTAGTTTGAACTGCGTTGTATGATTGCCCACCATGTTGCACCTCTCTATGCTGAATTGCACATGCACCCCGTTCATTGCGAAGATTGCCAACCCCACGGCGACCACTGTCATGCTCAAAACAATTGGTGGGCATCGGCTCAACATGACAGACTGGGCGCATGATTCGACCTGCAGAAAACACAAGCCCGACCAACGAATCACGGCTCGGGGACGACGAAACGACATTTTTGAGAATTTAGATTTAGCCCGCATGAGCCAAACAACCAGGTGTGTGATTCACACGCGCAAGTACCGACGAATAACAAGGACACATCTGTCATTCGCAATCTGGACAGCCATACGATCCACCAACACGCAAGCCCTGGAATGCAGTGCTGCCACCGCATCTCTCTACGTTACTTGCACAGTTGTCTGGCGGATTGTCCTATACGCCGCCACGCATTATCTCGCCTGTGTGCACATCTCTCACCAACTTGCTGCACTGTCTCTGACGCATGCCAACAGGACGCACTAGCGCGTGCCAGCCTCATTCGTTACTTACTGGTCACGGCCAAGCAGAGCCGGCCTCGCAGCGTGACGAAGGTCTTTCTTGGAGTCAACCCGAGCCTCTCAGCTCACACAATGCATGTCAGGCGCCCGTTCACAGGGCGTGGCCTCACAGTCGCACCAGCCCTCTGGGCGTAGGTGGTCTACCGATGTATTCCTTTTCTCTTCCAAAAAAGCCCTCTTCCCCTTCGGGGAGGGGTTTATCACTGTTCCCTATTAATGTACACCCCCCCTTCCAGGCGACTGGGAGCCAACCAGGGACAATGCGGGCACCCCTCCACCAAC